TGATATCTATGCTCTAGACTTTGATGCTATTCTCACTGCCATGTATGTGATGTCTACTAGTGGAGAGGGTGCTGAGTACCTGTGTGTTCCGCCCGACCCGGGCATTAGGACCAGTGCGTCTGCCGCTTCAGGTCCTCGCGTGTCTGCTACCTCAGGTGCTGGTGAGGCTGCTGCTCTAGGTGCTTGTGCGTCTGCGCCCCCTGGTACTGAGTCGACTGAGGCACTACACACCTTCACACTGGACTCAGGTGCTTCTCGCTGCTTCTTTCGTGACCGCACTGTCCTTGAGCCGCTTGCTCGGCCAGTTGTTGTCTCCCTCGCTGACCCCTCTGGGGGCCCGGTCGTTGCGACCTCCTCCACTGTCCTTCCCTGTCCTGCGGTCCCGGCAAGCACGCTGTCAGGTCTCCACCTCTCCTCGTTCTCTACGAACCTGGTGGCCGAGTGTGCGCTCCAGGACGCGGGTGTTCACCAGTTCACCCCTGCCTATGAGCGCGTGACACACTGCACGTGTGCGCGTACGGGGCGCCACTTGGCTACCTTCACTCGGCAGCTGGGGTCGGACCTGTACACACTGACCACTGAGTCCCCTCAGGTCGCTGCGTCTGCGTCTGCGTCTGCGTCAGGTCAGCTGTCGGCCCCCTGCTCGTGTCGCTCTCTGGCGCACGAGACTGTCCTCTGGCACCACCGACTTGGCCACCCGTCTGTGCAGCGCCTTCGTGCCATGCACTCCCGGTACCTTGTCTCTGGTCTTCCCAGGGTCCTCCCTCCCCTCCCTCCCTCGCCTGCTCCTCCCTGTCTTCCCTGTGTCGAGGGGCGGCAGCGCGCTGCTCCTCACTCCTCCTCGTTTCCCCCGACGACTGCTCCCTTGCAGACGCTCCACATGGACGTGTGGGGCCCAGCCCGCGTCCGTGGTCAGGGTCAGGAGAGGTACTTCCTGATAGTTGTTGACGACTACTCGCGCTACACCACGGTCTTCCCCTTGCGCACCAAGGGTGAGGTCCCTGATGTTTTGATCCCTTGGATCTGCAAAGCTCGTCTCCAGCTCAGCGAGCGTTTCCACTCGGACTTTCCTGTCCTGCGCTTGCACTCTGACAGAGGTGGTGAGTTCTCCTCCGACCTCTTGGCAGCCTACTGTGCTGAGCACGGCATTGAGCAGTCGTTCACGCTTCCGGCCTCTCCATAGCAGAATGGGGTTGCGGAGCGCCGCATTGGCCTAGTCATGGAGGTCGCCCGTACCTCCTTGATCCATGCGGCTGCCCCCCACTTTCTGTGGCCGTTTGCGGTCCGGTACGCTGCGCATCAGCTCAACCTCTGGCCCCGTGTCTCCTTGCCGGAGACCTCGCCCACGCTGCTGTGGACGGGGGAGGTTGGCGATGCGTCGCGTTTCCGGGTCTGGGGATCTCGAGCTTTTGTCCGCGATACGTCCGCGGACAAGCTCTCCTCCCGCGCTGTTCCCTGCGTCTTCCTTGGCTTTGTCCCTGACGCGTCTGGTTGGCAGTTTTACCACGCCACCTCGCGCCGGGTCCTTGCCTCTCAGGACGTCACGTTTGACGAGTCCGTCCCCTACTACCGCCTCTTCCCCTACCGCACTGCCCCGCTCCCCCCCCGCCTCTCTTCCTCGCTCCAGGTGCTGCTGTGGTAGACCCCCTCCCCCCTCAGGGTGCCGCTCCCTCAGGTGTGTCCCAGGTAGACCCGGTTGAGCCTGTTGAGGTAGCTGTTGACTCTCGTCCTGCTGCGGGTGCGGAGCCTGGGGGTGCTGAGCCTGGGGGTGCTGAGCCTGGGAGTGCTGAGCCTGAGGGTACTGAGCCTGGGGGTGCTGAGCCTGGGGGTGATGAGCCGCGGAGTTCTGAGTCTGGGGGTGCTGAGCCTGGGAGTCCTACACCTGGAGGAGCTCTCTCCTCGGAGCAGCTGCGTGAGTGGTACTCAGAGTACTGCAGCCTCCGGAGAGGTGCCTCTGGAGCCAGGAGTGCTGTTAAGACTGGTGCTGGTGCCTCCCCTCCTCAGCGGGAGCTGCCCTCTCTTGAGCGGATCCGTGAGTGGTACGAGCGGCGCTGCACTCTCCGGAGTGGCGCGCCTGGTGTCGCGGACCCTGGTGCTGGAGGTGCTGCTGCTAGCGCTGCTGGTGCTGGAGCTGCTGGAGGTGCTGCTGCTGGTGCTGGAGGCTCTACTGGTGCTGCTGGTGCTGCGGACCCTGGAGTTGGAGCTGCTGCTGGTGCTGCGGACCCTGGAGTTGGAGCTGCTGCTGGTGCTGCGGACCCTGACGTTGGAGCTGCTGCTGGTGCTGAGGACCCTGGAGCTGGCGCTGCTGGAGCTGCTGCGGGTGCTGGTGGTGTCTCTACTGGTTCTGGAGTCGCTGCGCGGCCCCGGCCGTACTTCGTTCCGCTCCTTCAGCAGGTTCTTGGTCAGCCTCCTCCTCCTTGTCCTGCTCCCTCCTTAGAGTGTCCTCCGCCTGTCCAGTCGCAGTCACAGTTACCGCCTGCCTCACCTCTCCCTGGTCCTTCTCCTTACACTGGTCCCACAGGAGGTCTTACGGAGCGTCGTGAGCCTGAGTCTCGTCCTGTGTCGCCTGCGTCTCGCTCTGCGTCGCCTGTTCGTGCTGCTCGCACTGGTCGTCGTGTCCCGCGTGAGCGTCCTCCTCCTGTCCCTGGCACTCACTACATGACTCTGCGTCCCTCTACTGCTCCTCAGCGTGTCCCTCTGCCGTCTCCTCCTGCGTCCTCTCTACCTACTCTTCCTGACCCGGAGTCTGACTCCCTTCGTGCTGCCCGTCCTACTGTCACGCGTCTACTCGCTACTGTTGTCACTGACCCTACCTTTGAGTCCTCTGCTGCGTCTGCTCTCGTCGCTGAGTTAGTTGACTTTGCTGCCGCTTGTCGTCTAGACTACGCCGCTAGCCTAGTTGCTGCGTCTGAGTCTGTCTGTCCTCCGTCCGTCGGGGGTGAGTGTGCTCTTGGCACGGACGTCCTTGAGGACAGGCAGGAGGAGTTCCAGTGCTTTGCTGCTGCTTTGCCTCATCTCGTGTCCATGCTAGTTGCCCCTGAGGGAGACCCGGATGCACCAGACATCCCGACCCCGCGCTCTTACGCAGAGGCGATAGCGGGTCCCTACTCCTCTCAGTGGCAGACAGCCATGGACGCAGAGATGGCTTCCTGGAAGTCCACAGGCACCTACGTCGACGCAGTTCCCCCACCAGGGGCGAACATCGTCAGTGGCATGTGGATTTTCAGGGTGAAGCGGCCGCCGGGTTCTCCGCCTGTCTTCAAGGCGCGTTACGTTGCTCGAGGCTTCAGTCAGCGTGAGGGAGTCGACTTCTTCCAGACCTTCTCCCCCACCCCGAAGATGACCACTCTTCGGGTGCTGCTACACATAGCCGCTCAGCGCGACTACGAGCTTCACTCTCTTGACTTCAGCACTGCTTTCTTGCAGGGTAGCCTGCACGAGGAGATCTGGCTGCGCCGCCCTCCTGGCTTCACTGGGTCGTTTCCTCCTGGTACCCAGTGGAGCCTCCGGCGGCCGGTCTACGGTCTCCGCCAGGCACCACGTGAGTGGCACGACACACTGAGGACGACACTTGCGGCACTTGGGTTCGCGCCTTCTACTGCTGACCCGTCGCTGTTTCTGCGCACAGACACTTCGCTGCCGCCGTTCTACATCCTCGTGTACGTCGACGACTTGGTCTTTGCTACTGCTGACACTGAGGCTCTCGCCCACGTGAAGTCGGAGCTGCAGAAGAGACACACGTGCACAGACCTGGGTGAACTGACAAGCTATCTTGGCTTGCGGATCACCCGGGACAGAGCACGGCGCACCATTACCTTGACTCAGTCACACATGGTGCAGCAGGTCCTTCAGCACTTCGGCTTCACGTACTCCTCGCCTCAGTCCACTCCTCTGCCTACCGGTCACTCGCTCTCAGCTCTGCCTTCGGATGAGTCCGTAGAGCCGAGTGGCCCATATCCAGAGCTTGTGGGCTGCCTCATGTACCTGATGACCTGCACTCGACCTGACCTTGCATACCCTCTTAGCATCCTTGCACGCTATGTCGCTCCTGGCCGTCACCGGAAGGAGCACATGGATGCCGCTAAGAGGGTGTTGCGCTACTTGTGCAGTACGTCGGGCATGGGGCTAGTGCTTGGAGGGCGAGACCGAGTTGTTCTCACTGGGCACTCAGACGCTTCTTGGGCAGACGACCAGGCCACTCAGCGGTCGTCTCAGGGTTACACCTTCAGCCTTGGCTCTGGTTCAGTTTCTTGGCGTTCTACACGTTCTTCTTCTGTTCTCAGCTCCAGTTGTGAGGCTGAGATCTACGCCACAGCCATGGCAGCCCAGGAGCTACGCTGGCTCACCTACCTGCTGACCGACTTGGGAGAGGGGCCTCGTTCTCCTCCTGTGCTGTACGTCGACAACAAGGCTGCCATTGCCTTGTGTGAGGAGCACAGACTGGAGCACAGAACGAAGCACATCGCTCTGCGGTACTTTCTGGCTCGAGAGCTGCAGCAGCGTGGTCAGCTTTGTCTGCGTTACGTGGCCACTCAGGCCAACACTGCTGACGTGTTCACCAAGGCGCTTCAGCCTTGTGACCATCAGCGCTTCTGTACTCTTCTAGGCCTTGTACCTACTGGACCTCACTTGCTTACTTCTTGACTTTGCTTGTACTGTGATCTCTATATATATTCCTGCATGCTTTTACTTGTTAGGTTATGATCACTGAACCTCTTGCTATATTATCAAACTGCATGTGAACTGGTCTTGTGACCACTTGCTTGTGCTCGGAATTTGTGTGGTATCCCTTGAGATCCACCCTGAGCTTGCTTGTGCTTTGCTTTGCTCTGACTGGTCTTGTGACCCCTTGTTCTCCCCCACTTTGCCTATGGGGGTGTGTCAAACATTATATATGTTGTGGTTGTTTAGGCTACAGTGGGTTAGCCTTTAGGGGGTACACAATTCTAGGGTTAGGTACTTGTACTGATTTCACTGCTAGTTCAATCATTCCTGTTCGTTCATTCTGACAGTGCCACCAGCACCAGCAGCTCCAGTACCTCCAGCAGCTCTAGTACCCCCAGCAGCTCTAGAACCTCCAGCGCCAGCACCTCCAGTACCAGCGCCACCAGCAGCTCCAGAACCTCCAGCGCTAGCACCTCCCGTACCAGCGCCACCAGCTGCAGCACCCCCAGAACCGGCACCTCCAGTCCCAGGGTCTCCAGCCTCAGTGTCTCCAGCAGCAGCACCCCCAGACCCAGCACCTCCACCCTAGCAGCTCCAGTACGTCCAGTACGAGCACCTCCGGGACTAGCAACGCCAGCACCTCCAGCAGACAAAGAACCAGCACCACTCCCAGGTCCAGGGACGTTAGCAGAAGCCCCACCAGTGGCAGAGCCCCGAGCTCCAGCAGCGCGACCCTGACGGCTAACGTACCACTTGTAGAGCTGCTGTGGGGAGAGAGGCTCACGCCGACGAGTGTGACTACGTAGGCGGCCACTCCAAGGAGACCGCTCACCAGCAGCCTCAGTACCCTCAGGCGCAGTACCCCCAGGCTCAGCACCCCCAGACCCAGTGCCCCCAGGCTCCTCACGCGCAGGCTCAGCACCCCCAGGCTCCGCACCTCCAGACTCAGCACCCCCAGGCTCCTCACGCTCAGGCTCAGCACCCCTAGGCTCCGCACCCCCAGGCTCAGCACCCCCAGGCTCCGCACCCTCAGGCTCAGCACCCCGAGCAGGACCACCCCCAGTAGGACCTGAGTCACCAGTGACCTCAACAGGCTCAGTCAAGGGAGGGTCTACCTGAGACACACCTGAAGGAGCAGGACCTGGAGGGGGAAGTGGGTCTGGGGAGGACCTGGAGCGAGAAAGAGCGGCGGGGGGGGGGGGAGAGGGGCAGTGCGGTAGGGAAAGAGGCGGTAAAAGGGGACCGACTTGTCGAAGGTGACGTCCTGAGACGCAAAGACATGGCGCGAGGTGGGGTCGTAAAACTGCCAGCCAGGCGCGTCAGGGGGAAAGCCAAGGAAGACACAGGGAATGGCGCGAGCAGAGAGCTTGTCCGCGGTGAGATCGCGGACAAAGGCACGAGCACCCCAGACCCGGAAACGCGACGCATCGCCAACCTCCCCCGTCCAAGGTAGTGAGGGCGAGGTCTCCGGCACGGAGACACGGGGCCAGAGGTTGAGCTGATGCGCGGCGTATCGGACCGCAAACGGCCACAGGAAATGGGGGGCAGCCGCATGGATCATGGAGGTACGAGCGACCAGCAACCCCATTCTGCTGCGGAGAGGCCGGAAGCGTGAACGTCTGGCGGATGCCGTGCTCCTCACAGAAGGCTCGCAAGAGGTCGGAGGTGAACTCACCACCTCTGTCAGAGTGCAGACGCAGGACAGGAAAGTCCGACTCGAACCGCTCGCGGAGCTGGAGACAAACAGCGCGGATCCAAGGGATCAGAACAGCAGGGACATCCCCCTTGCGCTGCAAGGGGAAGACCGTGGTGTAGCGCGTGTAGTCGTCGACGACCAGCAGGAAGTACCGCTCGCGGCCTTGCCCTTGGACGCGGTTTGGGCCCCACAAGTCCAGGTGGAGAGTCTGCAGTGGAGCCTCTGTGGGAGGGAACGAGGAGGAGTGAGGAGCGGTGCGCTGCCGCCCCTCGACGCAAGGAATGCAGGGTGGCGCAGGCGAGGGAGGGAGGGAGGGCAGAGACCTGGGAAGACCAGAGACCAGGGAGCGAGAGTGCATGCCACGAAGGCGAGGCAGGGAGGGGTGACCAAGGCGGTGGTGCCACAGGAGAGTCTGGTGCGACAGGCGGCGACACTCACACTGGGTAGCTACCTGAGCAAACGCGTACAGCTGAGGAGACAAAGGGGCGTAGCGCGACACAGAGGTGAGGGTGTACAGATTGGACCCAGGCGCATGTGTGAACGTGGCCAGGTGGCGGCCGGTCCGAGAGCACGTGCAGTGCGTCACACGCTGTCCTCCAGGAGTAAAGGTGTCAACCCAGTGATCCTGAAGGACGGCGGTGCTCACCAGGTTCGTAGAGAACGAGGGGATGTGGAGACCTGACAGCTCACCGGACGGGACCGCCGGACACGGAAGCACAGTAGTGGACCGTGCAAGCACTGGCCCCCCATAGGGGTCAGCCAGTGAGACAGGGACAGGTGCAGGGAGGGGAGTGACTGTGGTACTGTCGCGAAAGAAACAGCGAGAAGCACCAGAGTCAAGTGTAAAGGTGTGCAAGGCCTTAGCCGACGCAGTACCAGGGAGAGCAGACTCACTAGCACCTAGAGCTACAACCTCTATACCTGGATCAGGCGGCATACACAAGTAGCAGTCACCCTCAGCACTAACAGTCAATGCATACATGGCAGCAAGAATTGCATCATAGTCAAGATCAAAGATAGGAACACCACGCCTAAGCAGGTCAGCCCAAGGGAGGAACTCAGTAGCCTCAGGAAACTTGGCGCGCCAGGCGTCGCTAAGCCGAGAGAAGCAGCGGTACTCAGTGTGATACCCGCCGCATGGCCGACTAGTGCGGGGGCCTGTGCGAACGATATACGGGCAGCGGACAGGACCCCCAGACACCCCACGCTGAGCATACCAGTCATGAAGCTGCTGAGGGGAGAGGGTCTGCTGCTGACGCTGCTGCTGCTGCTGCTGCTGCTGCTGCTGCTGCTGCTGCTGCTGCTGCTGCTGCTGCTGCTGCTGCTGCTGCTGCTGCTGCTGCTGCTGCTGCTGCTGCTGCTGCTGCTGCTGCTGCTGCTGCTGCTGCTGCTGCTGCTGCTGCTGCTGCTGCTGCTGCTGCTACTGCTGCTGTCCCTGGCCACCACTGGAGCTCCCCTTCTGGCCAGTTCCACTCCAGCCCGCACCACCGCTGCCACAACCGCTCTCTCCTCCCCCACTACCGCCGCTGCCACCTCCACCGCTTCCAGTACCACCGCCGTCCCCACCACCACCTCCACCTCCACTACCACCCCCACCACCTCCACCTCCCCCGCCGCATCCACCACCGCCCCCTCCACCGCCACCTCCACCTCCCCTGCCACCCCTGTTGCCCCTGGCGTTGCGGCGCTTCCCACTAGGAGCGGAAGCAGCCCCGACCTCCTCAGCACCAAGGAAGTCGACAGCAGCAGCAGCAGAGGCGTAGGAGGGGGCGAGAGGAGAGGGGGAGCACCCCTCAAAGACAGGGGGAGTGCAAGGTGTGCCACGAGCAGCACCTACAGCGAGAATGTTCTTTTCAGCTGCTAGGAGGTGCTTCTCGAAAGTGGTAGGGTATAGGGCGAGAAAGTGGTCCCTGACTGAGCGAAGAGTGTCAGGGAGGCGGGTGACGAGGAAGTAGAGAGTAAAGTACATCGGGGGGGGATTCTCGGCGAGGAAGTCGTCTGGAAGGGTGGCACAAAAGCGAGCGTCACTAGCGCGCAGGTGAGAGATGAGGTCCTCAGCGGTGGTAAACGAGGACAGGTCGGGGAACAGGTAGGGTAGGAGAAGACGACCTAGGGCTGCAGTGGCTGGGGAAGAGTAGCGGGCAACTACAGCCTCATACAGTGCCTTAGTTGTCTTGTGCTGACTAAAATGCGCGCGCTCAGTGATCGGCAGATGGTTGCGAATAGCGAGGCGCGCAGCAGCATCACGGGTCTGCCACTGTGAGCGGTCGAGAGCGGGAGCAGTGTCAGCAGGAGCAACGGAAGTGCCAGACGCGTGATCGAACAGTGAGATGCCGTCTTTGGCATCAGTCATAAGAAACAGTTGCAGGTCGTCGAGCCAAGTGGCAAACTCTATCGGGCGACCGTCAGGATCGAAAGCGAGCACGTTGAGAGTCGCCATGCTTGCAGCGCAGGTAAGAGTAGCGCGCAGGCGGCAAGGCAGAGCGCAGGCCGGGAGAAGCTGCGCGCAGGGTTGCAGTGGCGGCACACGAGCTGCTAGAGTGGCGCGCGGGCGGGTAAGGCGGCGCACGAGACAGCCGCGGGCTGCGCAAGCGGCTGAGGCGGCGCGCGGGGCAGCGCCGGGCCGCGCGAGGGCGGCGGACGCGGCGCGCGGGGCAGCCGCGGGCTGCGCGGGTGGCGGATGCGACGCGCGGGGCAGCAGCGGGCTGCGCAGGCAGTGGACGCGACGCGCGGGGCAGCAGCGGGCTGCGCGAGGGCGGCAGCCGCGGCGCGCGGGGCAGCAGCGGGCTGCGCGGGCTGCGGACGCGGCGCGCGGGGCAGCAGCGGGCTGCGCAGGCGGCGGACGCGACGCGCGGGGCAGCAGCGGGCTGCGCGAGGGCGGCAGCCGCGGCGCGCGGGGCAGCAGCGGGCTGCAGACGCGGCGCGCGGCGCAGCTGCGCGCTGCGCGCGGGTCTAGAACAGCGCGCGCGGGCAGCGCAGCGCAGGCAAGGCAGGGCGCGCGCATGGGGCGCAGCGCAGGCAAGGCAGGGCGCGCGCGTGGGCGCAGCGCAGGCAAGGCAGGGCGTGCGCGAGGCGGCGCAGCGCAGGCACGTGGGGCAGCTCAGTAACCGCAACGGTAGGTGGGCCCGAAAAAAAAAACGGTCCTACGGACCTACTGCTCTGAAACCATGTCAGAATCCTAGCCACTAACCACTGGGATAAAAGGGCTTGTTTGTGTAGTGGGTGAGTGCGCCCATAACCCCCCAGGCCAACGTGCATGTAACCCTTCCCTAGGATCAATCGGGGATCACCAGTGGACCTCTGACACCCCCCCGCACTGGGATGCCCGAGGTGCACACACCGAGATTCGAACCCGAGACCTTCGCTCTGATACCATGTTTGAAAGTCTAGGCAGGAATGAATGAACTAGAATGAAGTTGGGTACAAATATGAAACCCTAAAGGGGCTATACCCCATATTGGCTACCCCACTATAGCCTACACATATATATCACATATATAATTTGACAATGTTTCCATCCGTCATCCATGGATGAATTCTGTGCCTTGCCTCACATGACCTCCACTCTCGTGCAGGCCTAAGGCCACTGTCGTACTTCCTATCCTACCTTTTCTTTACGAGACATGTTTTTCTATGAGTGTTCTGTGATGGCCGTGTGGCTAAGCAGCATGGGAAGGCAGGTATTCACTCATCATCGCTCTCCTCCTCCTCGGCTTCCTTCAGCCACTGTGGAGGGCAGGCAAGCAGCACGAGGGGCAGAGCAGAGAGCAGATGGAGGAGCAGCAGAGGGGGCAGAGCAGCATTAGAGGGAAAAAAGGAAGTTGGCACATGGAGGGTGGGGTTGGGGTTGAACTGGGGTGGTGAGACGAGGATGGGTAGCGGCAAGGGGGAATGAGCCAAGACAGCGAGAGGAAGAAAGTGAATGGGAGGTGGGGCCAGGGAGAGATGGTGGGGAGGAGAGCAGTGAATGGGGAGTGGCAGGGGAAGGGCAGGGGAGGGACGACACAACAGGAGCGGTGGCAAGAAAAGCGAGAATCAATTTTCCTCCTGTGAGGCACCGAGCATTCAACGCTTCATAGAACCCTTGCCGGCAGCACCACACATGCTCACACCGCCCCGGTCCCACACACGAGACGAGTTACGCCCACACCACAGGAGGAGTCCATCTGCACCGTTCATCTCACCTTGATGAACGCTGCGGATCGCTCGACAAAGACCTTGTCAGCAGCTTCGGCAAACTGCTTCTCATCGGCCCACGCCATGACGGCCTCCTCGCTCACTATGTCCCTGTCGTACAGTGCCTCCAGCACCTGCGGATGAACAAGGGGTGGGGGGGAAAGGGGGTTCATGCAGGTAGAAATGAGGGGGAAGAGGAGGGGTAGGGCGCTGCCTGCCATGACAGTCTCCTCGCTCACTACGCCCCTGTCGTACAGCGCTTCCAGCAGCTGGAAGGGTGGAGAATACATGGTGAGAGAAGAGGGCACAGGATGATGCATGAGCGAGAGGAGAGTGGAGGCACAGGGAGCAGCAGCAACACACCGACGCAAGTGGCTGACAGACAACTCAGTGGCTGACAGACAACTCACTGGCTGACGGACGACTCAGTGGCTGCCACGATTCTCACACTGCTTCTGGATGGCACATTTGGGCGGCACTTTTGGGCGGCACTTTTGGCAGCACTCACGTTGACGAAGATGGGGGCGAACTCGGGGCGAGCCTCGTTGCACACCTCCTCAAACGTCAACAGCACCTCCACCTGCCGGGGGGAGGGGGTGGGATGGGTGGGTGGGGAAGCGGGGGCGAGGGGCAGTGAAGTGGTGGCAGTGAGAGGGAGAAAAAGTGGGGGTAAGCGGTGAGAGGAGAAAGGAGCAAATGGCACAGTTAGGGAAGGGCAAGGGATGGCAAGGGAGTGGGGGGGAGTGAGCATAGGGTAGACATGAGCATAGGGTAGACATGAGCATAGGGTAGACATGAGCATAGGGTAGACATGAGCATAGGGTAGACATGAGCATAGGGTAGACATGAGCATAGGGTAGACATGAGCATAGGGTAGACATGAGCATAGGGTAGACATGAGCATAGGGTAGACATGAGCATAGGGTAGACATGAGCATAGGGTAGACATGAGCATAGGGTAGACATGAGCATAGGGTAGACATGAGCATAGGAAGTGGCAAGTGGCGAGGCTCACCCAAGTCCTTCCCTCGCCTCACATACCTGTTCCCTTGTGCAACCAACGTCCCTACCTGCCTCACCCTTCTTGTGCTCCACAGAAGAAACCCCTTTCATCACTCCCTCCTTATCCCTCACCTCCTCTCCTCTCCCTCCCCTTCTCCCTACCTCTCCATCACCTCCCCCTCGCCCTCCCCTCCCCCGCCCCCTCCCCCTCCCCCCCCCTCTCCTCTCCCTCCCTCCTATACCCATCCTCGTTCCCCAACCGCACCGCACGCACCTCGTCGTCAATGCCCTTGAGGAACCTTCGCAGAAGCGACGTCCACCGAGTCACCACGGCACGTGTGGACGCCAGCAGCTCCTCTCAGCGGTGTGAGCAATGGGGCAGGGCGGAAGGGGGCAGGGCGGAAGGGGGCAGGGCGGAAGAGGGCAGGGCAGAAGAGGGCAGGGCGGAAGGGGGCAGGCCAGACAGGGAGGGTGGGCGGGCAGAGAGGGGGCGGGGAGGGGGAACAGGTGAGCAGAGAGCAGGGCCAGGGTGGGAACAAAGGATTTGCAGTGTTCTGTTGAATAATAATAATAAAAAAAATCCGGCAGTTGGGGCTCAAAGGTGCGCGCTTCTGGGGGGGATGGGCAAATGAGTAGATGAGGGGAATAGCAGTAGAGGGTGGTAGGTTGTGACGTCTAGGCAGGCACAGGGTGATCAATCAGGCAGCAGAGCTCACTGGTGGGTGCCATAAGGTGGTGTGCGACGCAGATGGGTGCGTGGTTAGGTTAGGTGGAGAAACAGATGGTGTTGGTCAGCCAAGGTGCCTGCACTCACTGCTGGGTGCCCCGGGGCCGGTCTGCGAGGCAGCGAGGTTGAGCATGCCTCGAAACATGGCCCCCGCACAGTCCGCAAAGGACCGGTTGTATGCCAGACTGGCACGCGATGGAGAAGGGGGAGAGGGGGAAGAGTGGAGGTGGGTGAGGGAACGGGGAAGAAGGGAAGGATATGATAAGATGGTGTGGGGGGAGGGATGCACGTAGAGCGAAGAAGGTGCGCTCAGCGTGGACAGGGAGAAGGAACATGAGATGGACCATAGCACTAACTCGTTTGAGGGCGTTGACTTCTGTTGACTGCAATGACTCACTTTGACCACATTGACTCAGGTTGACCACATTGACTCAAGTTGACCACATTGACTCAGGTTGACCACATTGACTCAGGTTGACCACATTGACTCAGGTTGACCACATTGACTCACTTGAGCACGTTGACCTCCAGCACCACGTTGTCTTGAGCCACCCCCTCCGCCACGGCCCGCTTGAACATCTCCTCCACCTGCCATGCCATGCCATGCCATGCCAGGCCATGCCATGCCATGCCATGCCATGCCATGCCATACATCCATGCACCATCACGAGACACTTGGATTGAAAAACAAGCAAACATGCTACAAGCTAAGCACCATGCCACGGTACCACATCTCCTCACGCCATCATCTGTCCAACAATCATCCACCTACCGCCATTGCACAAGCATCGTTATTGCCTTGCCCCCCTCTCTCACACCCCCATTCCTCATTGCATCCTTGCCTTTTCCCTATCCATTCCATCGCCCTGCCTCCCCACCCCCCCGACCCAACCTGCCGCTCACCCCATACTCTATTCCCTCCTCCCTTCTCCTCACACAGCTCACTTCTTTGCTAAACTCGTCCTCCCCATCCTCCTCCTCCTCGTCCTCCTCTTCCTCCTCCTCCCCTCCCACCAGCACCGCCCCTCCCTCCCTCCCTCCCTGCCTCCTCCCCCCTCTCCTCCCCCTCGCCCTCCTCCCGTCCAACGGCCAGCCTCGCCAGCTCAGCGAGTTCGAGCGCTGTGATTGGTGCGAGCGACTGGCGGCGCACCACGGCTGCTGCAGCGGGCGTTCTGGGCGGCCAGGCGAAGCCCCTCCCGCCCTCGCCCACCTGCCAGCGGGGAGGACAGGAGGAGAGGGTCCGAAAGGTGCGGGGGAAGGGGGGGAGTGGGGGGGGGGGGGGGGGGGGGGAAGGGGTTGAAGAAACAACGGGAGGGTTGGAGGGTTGAGTTCAACTGAAGCCAGGAAGCATGGATGCATGGACACATGAATGCATGGACACATGGATGCATGGACACATGGATGCATGGACGCATGGATTCATGGACGCATCGATGCATGGACGCATGTTCGTGACAAACGTGTTCGAGGTTCGCCTAAACACGTTCGTGTTCGGGCCGCTGCTGCAATTTGCCCCACGTCGAACACGAACGTGTTCGAGGTTCGCCCGAACACGCCTTCACAGGCGAACACTGAACATTCTTTTTGGCTCGAAGTGTTCGCCGAACCGAACAGTGTTCGGTTCGGCGAACGGCTGTGTTCGTGCAGGGGCGAACACGAACACGTTCGTGTTCCCCCCTTGCTCACCCCTAGATGCATGGACGACGCATGGACACATGGACGCATGAACACATGGACGCATGGACACATGGACGCATGGACACATGGACGCGTGGACACATGGACGCGTGGACACATGGACGCATGGACACATGGATGCATGGACACATGGACGCATGGACACATGGATGCATGGACACATGGATGCATGGACATTGAAAAACATGAGTACGCCACAAGAAGAGCACTGCCAGCACATCACATGACACTCACTGCTTGCACATCACATGCACCCTCGTCTTCATCATCCTCCTCCTTCTCCTCCTCTCCCTCCTCATCCTCCTCTTCATCCTCCTCTTCATCCTCCTCATCCTCCTCTTCATCCTCTTCTTCCTCCTCTTCATCCTCTTCTTCCTCCTCTTCCTCCTCCTCTTCCTCCTCTTCCTCCTCCTCCTCATCACCTCGCTTCTTCCTGCGGGCTGAAGGTGGGGCTGACGTCGCAGGAGGTGAACGAGAGAGAACACGGGGCAACCACACACGCACCACACAAAAACGGCAGATGGGTACATCTTACTTAATTGGTGCCCCTTCTTGGCTGCTCCTTGCTCTCATCATCACAGCCTGACATGGCATGCCAGTGCCACCTACACCCATCCCATCCCACCAATCTCCCTGTATCCCTGCTCTCACCCATGCCGTGCCCCTACCTGCTCTCACCCATACCATGCCCCTCCCTGCTGTCAAGCCATACTCTCACCATGCCCGCCCAATCAACTCACCCAAGCCCGCCCAATCAACTCACCCAAGCCCGCCCAATCAACTCACCCATGCCCGCCCAATCAACTCACCCATGCCATGCCCCTCGGTGTTCTCATCATCGCTCCCCTCCTCCTCAGGCTGCTGCTCCCTCGCTATGCGCGTGCCAGCTGGCACCACGTGATTGGCTGCCACCACCACCTACTATGGGAGAAGGGAACACAGGGGGGTCAAGCGGGTGAGAGAGAGAATTGCACGTCTGTGAGCACAGATCACGCATTCTCTGTGCATGAGTGAGTGCGCGCGTGCGCGCGCGCGC